CCCTTTTAGGGAAGGTGTCATTTTCAAGATTGATTCTTATAACACCTAATACAATGTAAATGCTATATAAATATTAGACTGTGTTGTATAGGAATAATAACAGTAAAAAAGTGTCCATGTTTAGTACAGATGCCACCATCATAATAGGACTAACTACAAGTACACGGAAGAGATACAAGGAAAATAATGCCCAAACCATGAGTGGTTGAGAGAGAGTGAGGATCTGTCAAGCAGTGGGAGACCACAGCAGGGTGCACCTACACTTCACTTCAATCATGTAGATTCAGTATAGTATTGGTGCACGGTAAATTCAAATTTTTTTTTGGAAATTTTCTGGAAAAAAAATTTCCAAATGTTTTTGATCTATAGTTGGTTGGGTCCAGGAATGCAGATACGAAGGGCCAACTCTACAGGAACTGGCTTGCGTTATTATGGAGGCTGTGCAGTCTCATAACCTGCCATCTGCAAGCTGGAGACCCAGGAAAGTCAGTGGTGAAATCTAGTCTGAGTTGGACACAGAGAGCCAGGGAGCCAAGGGCAACAAGACACATGTCCCAGAGCAAGTGCAAGGCAGGAGGCCAAGGAAAAGCATTTCTCCTTCCCTCACATTTCTGTTCTATTCAACAGTCTCAACAGATTGGAGGATGCTCGCCCACACTTGGGAGAGTAATTTACTGTATAAACTGGTTCAAATGCAGTCTCCTGTGGAAACTCTTCATAGACACACCCAGAATAATGGTGAAAGTCTTCTGTCTTGCTAAATTGTCCCCTTCCTTTGGCTAGCAATAATAGGGCTCTTCCTTCCTCTCTCTTTTTTCCTCCCTCTTTCCCTCCCTTCCTTCCTCTGTGCCTACTGGCATTTCTAGATTGCTGTTTTTTTCAGCTCCAAGTCTGGGATAAATAAGGCAAAAACAAAAAACTCACCAGGGCTGGGGTTGTGGCTCAGCGGTACAGCACCTGCCTAGCACGTGCGAGGTGCGCCTGGCATGCGTGCGGCCCAGGTTCCATCCTCAGCACCACATACCAACAAAGATGTTGTGTCCGCCGAGAACTAAAAAATAAATATTTTTTTTAAAAAAGTGAACAAATAAAATGAAGATATTATGCTGACTCTAATATCTTCTTGAAAAGGTTAACAGTTTTGTGCAAAAAAAAAATATTAAAAAAAAAAAGAACTCACCAGTGTTTCCTCAGGTCGCACAGCTCCTAACAAAGTCTGCTTTTTTCTTCTCACTTTTTAAAGTCTTATGTTTATTCTATAGCAATTTCAGAATTTATAGTTATAATGATGGCAAAAACACATCTACTCTATCTTCCCAGAGGCAGAAGTTCCATCCAGTGGATTTTTCAATTCAGATATATTTGTTTAAATATTTATTTTTTTAGGTTTAAGCGGACACAATATATTTTACATTTATGTGGTGCTGAGGATCGAACCCAGTGCCTCATGCATGCTAGGCAAGCACTCTACCCCTGAGCCCCAGCCCCAGCCCCTCAATTCAGATATTATATTTTCCATTTTAAGAAGATCCATTTGGGTCTTTAAAAAATATGTTCCATTTCTCTCATTATGTTTTTGTTTTCCATTTCATTCTTTCTTTTAAACTGATTAAATATGTTTTCTTTTGATTTACTTTCAATTTTGCACAAAACTGTTAACCTTTTCAAAAAGACAACTAGGGAATATGGTTAGATACTTAGTTTCACAATCTTTAGTTTCACCACTTTGAGACTTTATTTCCTCTAACATTCTAGCAAAGTCAATGAACGTCCCCCCTTTGTCTCTTATTTTAAATTGAAAAAATAAAAGTTATATGTACTTATGGTATACACACAGAATAGCTAAATCAAACTAATTTTATATATACATTACCTCATATAATTATTTTTTGGTAAGAAGACTTAAATTCTATTCTATTCCAATTTTTATTTTCGTTTCTGAAATTATTTTCCCCCTTTGATTCTACATTCTACATTTTGGAATATTTTGGGAAGAGTTTACTCTTACATATGAAAATATAATCTATACCATTTTTAAGTATACAATAGATTATTAACCATAGTCACCATGTGGTACAATAGATCTCTTGAATTTACTTCTTAAAATTTTGTATTCTTGATGATCAACATTTTCCCCCAGTAACCACCATTCTACTCTTTTGCTTTCATGAGTTGAAGTTTTTAGATTTTACATGTAAGTGACAATATGAAATAACTGTCTATATCTGGCTTAACAACTCGATAGCAAGATAATATTCTTCAGGTCTGTGTTGTTGAAAATAAGAAACCTCATTCTTTTTATAGGCTGAATAGTGTTTCACTGTGACCATGACTCCCTTTTCTTCTCCATTCATCTTGATTCCATGACTTGGCTACTGTGAATGATGTCTCACCGGACCCAGAAGTGCGGAGCTCTTTGATATGCTGATTTTGTTTAAAGAGAATACCTACTGAGCAGTGGAACTGCTGCATCATGTGGTGGTTCTATTTTTTACTTTTTTGAGGAATTCCCATACTATTTTCCATATAGCTTAACTGAGTTACATTCTTACCAATGGGGTACACTTCAATTCTTCACATCTTTGCTAATGTCATCTTTTTGATAACAGCCATCGTAACAGGTATGAGGTGATCTCTCATTGTGGTTTTAATTTTCATTTCCCTGATGATTAGTGGTGTTGAGCATATACCTGTTGGTCATTTATATGTCTTAAGAGATATCTATTCAGGCCCTTTACCTATTTTTTTTTAAAGAGAGAGAGAGAGAGAGGGAGG